ACTACTACTACTACTACTAGTAAAGCAGGCACGCAGGAATGCATCCCTGGAGTACATTGTCCCTGCAGAACCCCTCAGAGCAGCCCAAGTCAGCGCGCAGGTCACCTGCATGGATGTGTCCGTGTCCATGCACCTTGACGTGCCAAGGGTTTCCATACATTCGGGGTCCCAATAGAGTGGCTGTGGGGCTTGGGGTTTAGGGTTTAGGGTTTAGGGTTTGGCATTCCCTAAATCTTGTATATGCCCCTGGGGTTTGTCATCATTGGAAGCTTCCAAAAGCTGTTGAGTTGAGTTGTCTAGCCTCGAAATCGCAGTGGTCGTCTAGAGCCCACTGTGCTTCAGACTCAAAGCCCTCTGACACACCTGTACCTCAAGATTTTCCCCACTTCGGCAACGAAAAGAAACATATCTGGAGGTTTCAAAAATAAGGGGTCCCTTATTTTGGGGGTGTCCATAAGAAGGATTACAGTATATTGGGCTTTGTGATTGGCCACCAGAGTTCTGACAGATTGCTATGGGATTGGTATGGCCATTTGTGTTAGTCTCCTGAGAATTCCCAGGACTAACGTTTGCAAGCACTGAACCCTAAACCCTAAAAGGCTTGAGGCATGCCGGATATGATTCTGAAGGGGGCTGCGCATCCTTCCTTCGAGGTTCCATGGGTGGCATGTACCTTAACTTAGGCCGACCTCCAAAAAAAACTATCTACGAGAATCCTAGGCTTTGCGAATGCCCAGAATGTCCGACCCCTGTCTCTTGTGAAGCATGGATAAAATACGGAATTCCCCAGGATCATGATAAGATCCCCATATACCCCGTATTCTATCTACTTAAGAGAGATTACATGTTCATCAGGAAGTACAACTACCCGTCTAGGATCGCCCCTTTCTCAGCTCCCCGAGCCTGAAACACCCCACTACATCCAGCAAACATGCGCACCTTTCAAAGAGAAAAACACTGAGAAGTAGATTGGGATCCATTTCTTGTACTCAAGAAGGATGAAGAGGACCCCACAAGGGGGCAATATTCTGAGAAGGGCCTAGCGGTTGACGAGACTCTGGCCCTTCAATGTCCAAGGTCCCTCCTCCTCGCAGAGGTCTCCACGGGATCGTATGCTCGTCAGATCATCACCTTCCATGAGGATTTTCGGGGGCCTCAGTTTAGACTGCGGGTGCTTTGGGTTGAGGTACAAGGCGTTTTATGCTTGGTTGAGGGGGTAGTGGCTGCCAAGGACAGTGGAGGTTGGAGGTTTGCGGTCATGGGTTTGGGGCTTAAGGGATTCTGAAGGCTTGCTACGCCGCCCAGACAGAACAAGGGGAGTCGTCGGATGGAAAGTAGTGAAGGCAGCAAACAACTACGTTACATAACCCATTATAGAAGTTTCCATTTTCTTTTCCTTCATTCCCAGTAGGACTATCCAGCTGTCAGATGCTTGTAAGAGGCCATAGGGGCAAACTGCAGATCCCAGAGGCACCAACTTTTCAGGCACCAAACCCACGATTTTCAGGAGCTTCCAGTGAGCCAATGCAGCATGCAACTGTCCAATGCTCCCTAAGTAATTCGTAGTTTCCATTTTCCTTTGCATTCTCCCTACATAACCCCCAAAGAATTCCCGAAGTATGTGGCCAATCAGGTGGGGACCTTCCAGACCCAAAGCTTTAGGGTTTGGGGGTTATATAGGGATAATGGAACAGAAAATGGAAACTATTATTTAGGGTCATGTAGGGGTTATATAGGGCTAATCTATTCAGGGTCATATTGGGATCTATATAGGCATAAGGAGGAGAAAATGGACATTAATATGTAGGGTTTAAGGTACCAAGTAAAAACCAGGTTCCACATAGGCATTCTTTGCAGGAGCCAAAGCTTGTGGAATTGCCTGATACAGACGACTTGGAGAAGTTGGACAACTTCATTCGGAAACTCCCCTGGGGAGGATCCACGAATTTCCACAAGGCTGGCCTTGCTCGGACTTGCAGGTTGTAAAAGGGCACTGTAGAAGGATGTACAACAGAGGATCCATGTAAAGTGGGGATTTGAGATACATGTCAGATCTAAGCCCTAAACCCTAAATCCCTTAGGAAAATGTTGTCAGATAAGAGCTAGGGGCGGAGCTTCAAGACAAGCACCATTAGGGAAGGTTGCTACCGAAAGATGGAATGGATCTAACATCTGAATGGAGACGACATAGGCTCCTTGGAATTGCGGTTTCACTCCTCACTCTCAGCCCTAAACCACTCTAAACCCTAAACCCCTAAACTACAAATCGCATGGCTCATGTAGGTCCGTGGGTAGTGGAGGTTGGTTTGCTCACATTCACGCACAGGTCTTCGACCTGCTCACCAAGTACGACGTCCCACCAAAGAAGCTGGATCATACTGGAAGAAAGGTTTGCCATTAGGGATAATGAAAAATACAATGGGACGTACTCTTTAGGATTAGATAGGGGCTGTATTGGACTATTGGTTCAAGTGCCATACTTCTTCTTGAGGCCACTACAAGCAATGCGGAGCTACAAGCAATGCGAAGGTGACCCTAAACCTAAACCCCAAACCCTAAACCCCGAATTAAATCCTTGACTCCATCTCTGAAACTTTACAACTCCCTTGCTCCCAAGGCCCAAGGCGCCTCTCGAAAACCCTATCTTCTCACTGGTGGTTAGTGCAAGACATAATCCCTAGATAATATATTCCCCTATTCCTGACTATAACCCCAACATATATCTATTAGAATGTAGTAGTTTCCATTTTCTTTTCCATTATCTTTAGATAATATATTACCTTAAGTCTTTTCCAAGCTGATTTGGCTCCAGGCCCAAATGCCCTTTGAAGTGCTCCATATATAGGGATATATATAGGGACCATAGGGAATATTAGGGATAATGGAAAAGACATGGAAGCTATTCTATTATAATAGGGTCTGTAATGGGTAATGCCAAGAAGGACAACAGAGAGCAAGCTTGATCTCACAAGCCACAACAAGCCCCTACCCCTAATAACAACTGCCCCCACTCCGCTAATGATGCATCTTCCCCCTCCTTTATACTGGTGCTGTTTTGGGAGTATTTGTGACTAGGGGAGTGTGGGGGTCTACATATTATGAAGGGAGCCAAATAGTCCCGCAGACCCACATCTCAAATCAACCTACGTCCCCAAACACTGCATTGCCCACATACACGAATTCAGACCACCTCAATCTTGGAACTCCAAGGAATCAGGTGCATATTCCCAAGCCAGCCAGTGCACTTCTAAGACCCCAAATCCCAGATAGTCAAATCCTTTGGGTTGAAGACAACAAAACGCCTCCAAGCAAGGAACTGCCATCCTGGAACTCCAAAATCATAGATTGATATTGCTTAGAGGTCTTGGGGTATCATGACTCCGCACATTCTGAATCCCCAAACATCTGCCAAACGTCCCACGCTGCAGAAGGCTGGGAAGAAATACCACATTATTCTGCTTGTACTGAACAGCTATCGAGTGTCTGACCATGTGTTGTAGTCTCCTTAGCAACTATGCCAAGATGAGAGCTCGCGTGAGGAGCAGCGCTCTCCCGTGCAAGCCTTTTAACTCGATGCCCGAGGGAGGGTGGTTTCCCCAGAAGCAAGACATGCTTCCTGGACCTCAAAGCGCGAAACCCCGGAGGTCTGCAGTAGAAGCGTGCGGAAATACCAACCGTGTTTCCTGAAAGTATCATGTGCCCCCAAGGCTATTTAAAAATAGAGCCCCCTACATTGACATATTCCCGCCATGTCCAAAGGAAGGTGGTGGTCTTCTCTGACATGCAGTTTGCAAGCGCTGGAGGAGACTCAGCGGTGCTGCGCTCCGTGCAGAAGCGCTACAAGACGCGTGGCTGGAGTTTGGGTGAGCTCTGTCCTTCTAGGCTCATGTTTGTTGTAGGTACGGTTATAGGAATTATGTAGGGCTCGGGGCTTGCATGGAGTGATACCAGGGGATGTACAGTGTTGTTGGTCTTGGCAAGTGGGGTCATACAGCCAGGTCACATGAGGTGTAACCTCTGCAAGGGGTGCTGCTGCAGCGCCGCTCTTATCAGTAATCATGAATTTCCCAGTAGAGTTGGCAGGTTTTAGATTTCGGGACCATGCTGCCTTTGCTTATACCT